CTATTTGGTGGAGTTATATGCCCCATTTTTTACACGTACCACTAATAGTTGCCTGATCATAACCACATTAGCTGTCCTAACCAAGTAATCAATAAATTATGCACATATATGCGTATTGGTCTTCAAATCGTAATCGGTAGAACAATTGACGCCTTGTTGTCAAACCTTCGACATTTTTTACCTTTTGGCCATATTTCGTCTTGGATTGTGTACTCTGCGTTGAGTCGTTTTTTAATACCCGCCTAAATTTTCGTTACCGAAATTCGCCGTTTCGACGTGAAAACTCTGTGACAATAATTGCAAATCGATCATGTCGATTACCCTTCATTTTCTCACCATCTCAATGGCTAATCGCTAGCCGTGTTTGCTTCGACAATTGTAGTCTAAAAGTACAGCTATCTTTGAGGGTGCGCTGTAGGTATGTCTCATGCTATCTGTCCGCTTTACTTCTACGTATTTTTTTTTAAAAAAAAGGACGAGGATGAGAAATTTTGCCGTGGATATTGGTAATTTAGTGGTATCCCAAAAAATCGATATTAATCATGTGTCATTACAATTTAGAACATTTTTTTTAAAAGAAATCCTCTTTTTTTAACCCACAATGTTCTGTGGGTTCAGCTTAAGAGGTTATTACTGATAGCAATATTCAGCGACCTTGGGAATTAGTTTTTAAGTAAATCGAGTACTTCAACAGCACACCCCCAGGCTTTTTTTACTTTATTGCGTATTGTTAGAGTAGTTGGGGCAAGCAATCTTTTTCACATTCGCGCGTTCTCTTTTCCAACGAAGACTAATCAAAGCCCGAGTGTCTTTTGGGTCATTTTCACACAATTTTAAGTGTCTGTGTGCGTCAGCCGGCCTATTGACGCAGGGTCGCTGGCGTAATCACGACAGTTTCAACGCAAACGACCGTTTTCGCACCAAATGTCACTTTTTTCCGTGTTGTCGCAGAAAACAATTCGACTTGCTAATTTGAGCGTCACACGAGGGACGGCTGGAGTTTATCTGAACTTAATCTGTAATTTGGTGGTGGCTCTCACTGTGACCGCACAAAATGCCATTGATTTCGTCATTGATCGTGGCAGTCGCCCTTCGATTTGTTCACGCCACCTGGCTGAATCCATACTTTTTAATAAACTTAAAATTTTATCATTGACCACCTCCCTGGAAATTGGGCTCCCTTGTTTTGAGTTATGTGCTCCAAATCAGTGGAACGAGTCCACCGATGAATGTGTTTGGGTGAACAACGTCCATCTTCCGGTTAGCAAAGCCCATTTTGGCGCTCTGCTCTTGGACAACACTGCATGAGGTAGTCGTCCGTGCTAAACGCTCTTAAAGCTCTAAGCGTGCGTACCACGCTGCCTTATTGACTTTTCGCGAGATCTTCGCAAATGCCAAGTATGATTTAAAAATAAACAGAATAATCGGCCCAAGCGCTAGTTAGCAGGCGCTGTCGCTAGTCCTACGACGACTCGTTCGCGTGCGCAGCCTCTCGCCTTCTAATCGATGATCAATAATGTCTAGCGTGTGTGCGTGGTGCGCGCGTTCGCTCTCACGCGGTGGCACTCACCGTCATTGCGCATCGTCGTGTCGCGCTATGCAAGCGCGTCGAGCGCGCGCGCTAAAATCGATCGATAATCGGCGTGCGCACGCAAGCGCACGTTCATGCGCGTGCGAGCGAGCGAGCCAGTGCTTGGGGTGTGTGTATGTATGTATACGTTTAATGGAAAATCAATGCAGACGCAAAATATGCTAGAGGCTGCGTAATCGGTCACGCGGTGCTCATTGATTGGAAATTTTACCTGCGTTTCCCTTTAGTAGGCTGCAAAGTCTTGGCGATTGCTAATAATCGATTTGTGTGTGCACTTTCTATTTGAAACGCGTACTTTAACAAGTGCTGCTCTTTAAAACCAGCGAGTGATTACGAAATTGCAGTTTGATAATTTTGACTACCAATCCGGCGTTCCTCCTCGGAGTAAACTGCGGGCAACTTCACTATCATTATTATCTGCACACACCGGACAGATTAAACGTTGACACCAGTCAATGTGTACATTATTGGTATGCTGTGAAAGCACTTGCTAGCCTACGATAGTCCCCTTTTTTGATGCGGAATTCATTAATTAACAGGAAAGTTATTTAAAAAAAGACGAATAAATTATGGCATGTGCGTTTCAATGCGAGGGTTGGCTTTAGATTACTCCGCGCAAACGTCACACTATGTTTATGAGTAGATAGATACGTAATTTACACATTTAAATTCGTGTTACGAAAAGCATTGACCGCGGGGTAGTGCTACACGGTCATAATGTCGGTGTGCTCAATCATTTTCATTGTGTACCGAGCTTCAGATACGGTGAATAGACACCTATAAATGCAGATGACGCGCCACCCGCATTTGTAGTGTCCAACTGCGCGCGCGTGTGTGTGTGTGTGCACGCGTGTCGTCGATCGATAAGATTGTCTGTGTTCGATTGGCTCCCCAGCCTGCGCGTAAGTAGTATGCATAAACGAACACACGCGACGTGTTAAGCCGTAATTGAGGCTCTGTGTGGTAACGGTTTCACCTGGCGTTGGCACAAAAAGTGCTCAATAAATAATGGATACCTTAAATTCGTTGGTGACGGGTCAAGCGGGCTGGTAAATGTGATCAGGGGAGGACAAGAACAATGCCACAACGCGTGTGTGGAGGTTGAGGTCATGCGTTAATTGGAGGTCGTCTTGCCGCCGTCACCAACTTGGCCGCGCGACGTGTGGTTCGCGCGCTGAATGGATTGGCCAGTTGACAGGCCACTTATCGATTGCAGGCGCGGTAATGAGCGCTCACACGATTCCCAACGTGGCTAGGTGTGAGAATTGCGGCGTAATTTTAAGCGTGCTAGAGAGTCAATTTTCGATATCGCCGCCGCTGTGATTGCTCAGCCAATCACCTCAGTTGACATCCTTGTCCTTCTCTCGGTAAATGCGTGCGATGAGTCCTTGATTTCGTTGGACTTTGAGTTGCGATTTATCGCAAGCACACACGCACGAGTCAAGTGCTCTCCGGGTGGTTCCAAATAACATCTTCCCAGACCCATAAGGCGAGGTTTTTGTCGGAGAAATCTCTTTTGCACGTGCATTTTGTTTTTTTTTCTGACTGTAAAATGACAAATTATGGCGCGGGGACCACTAAACTCCCTGGTTTCTATTTGTCAAGTCGTTGAGTGGACAATTTTTATATCTATTTTGGTAAAATGCCGTACTTAAAATATATCAGTAGTGTATCGCTCGTTATAAATCTAGATTGTGATGGGGGTGCAAGCCTCCGCTCGGTTTTTTTCGTGGACAACTTATATTCAAATCACCATCATGTAGGTTCCTGCAATTAACCCATTTACTGTCAGAAGTCCCATCATTTTTTCTCCGATCCTTTTTTCGGCTATCGATTAAGGAGAGCGCATTTCACTCATCGATAAACGTTTGTGCTCCACATTTACTATTGTGTTTGCTACTTCTGCATTGAGGGGTAACAAGCCATCAATCGCTTTGATTGCTGTTTTGCACATATCTGCATAAAAGTGATATTTCCGCTCAACTTATTTCGACAGTTAAATCCTAGATTTGTCTGGATTTTAAAACTGACTCGGCGAATTTTCGGTGCTCGCTTTTCTGGCAGTTCGAAAGGGAAAATTGTCTACCGCCCTACGCACTCTTCCTGACACGTACAAAGTGCTTTCGGTTGGGCCGGCTGGCGTGAGGTGTGTTGGGATGGGCCAATCGCATCGCGCAGCAGCCACTCGTGTGCGCGCACACGAGCGTGATTGGCTGTCGCGTCCATGCGTCACATGAGCATGTGCCAATTGTCTGCGCGTCTGGTCGAATCGATTTTCCACTCCATTTGGCCGCTAGTCCACGCGCCACTGCCTGCTTCAGAATAAAACACGCACGCGAGAGCTTTCGTGTGTCCTTTGGGTGAGTCACGCGTGGCCGGGCTGCGTTTGTGTGTGCACTCACCTCGTGTGTCTCTCTACTTATCGGTTTTCGACAGCCGGGACATTTTTCAAGTGTCCGAACAATTGACAAAACAACGGGAAATGGTTGTGCGACGTAATGTTACCAACTCGAAACATGCTCTGATTCAGCGGTAGTGTGGACTAACATGTCGGCCGTTTCGAACACAATTGAGCGTCCTAATATCGATTTATTGATTTTAGTTATCTTGCTTAGCTGAATGGTTGTCCTTTTCGCGTGCGTTTGCATCCACTGTTTCCCCGGAATTGTAAGTACGCAGTTATCTGAGAGCACAAGCAAAAAACGACTTAATTAAAAATTCTGAGGCGATTTAACTAATCAAATGCACATATATCAATTGATGCCTGCAATTGGTCGGACGCGGCGATCCCCTGGTATTACCTACGAAATAGTTGATAGTTATCGCTATTTTGTGGTCGATGTAACTGCCACAGACATTCTACTCAATCAGGCATTCGGACTAATCAAATACGTGAGCTGTGTGTGTGTGTGTTGGCTTATTGTGCTGCAAATTAATTAAGGCAGGCTGGCGTCAAATCAAAATTCTTGTTTCTGACGCATTTATAAGGCAGCGCTACCAGCACATTCCTGGTGTTGTTGTCTAGCTTACATTGAGCCAGTTGGGGGGCGTTAGGGCGATGCGGGGGGTGGGGGTGTTTACGCGTACCCTGCCAACACGAACACCCAGTCGATATGACTCACTCACGCAAATTCGACGGGTCTGTACATGACGGCAGACTTGCGGCGTGCGCACGTGCTCGCTGATTCACGCTCGCCATTATGACTGCCGCTCGTGCGCTTGTGTGTGTGTGTGTGTGTCCACAGCATTATCGATTTTCAACCGACCAATTAGAGCAGCCGTGTAGTCGGGCGCGCGTGATTGGTGTACGCGAGATTTCATTCTCGACAATTAGCACGTCGTATATTTGCGCCGAATTTGTGCCTTCCTGGAGTCGGCGGTTGGTGCGCGCGCAGCGCGACTAGCAACGATGGACGCTTCGACTCTGTTCTCGACTCTAGTAGCAGAAAGGGAATTCTCCTCGGTCACGGATTTCGTTGTAGCCTTGGACAAGTATAAATGCCTAACTGGATTCGATTTTGCAATCACATTCGTCGACCAGCATCTGTCACCAGCGGACGCTGGGAAGCCACAGCGGAGGGGGTTCTCGTTTGAGTACACTTGCAAGGGTCCTTCCTGCACTGCTGGATTTAAGTTGATACCGCGCAAGTCCATTCTGCGCGTGATTGATTGTGATACCAAACATAATCACCCCATGTTACTCACTCATGGTTAGTGTATTTTTGTGTGATTATTGAACTTTTATGGAACTCCATTGGTTGGTTGTTGTTGTTGTGACACTTAGCGTGAAAGAAGTTTTGCAAATCCCGCGCATACGACAACTCTTAACAAAAACTGTGTAGGTTATGTCAAAACAACCGTCAAACTTGGTGAAATCGTCGTTTTGTCACTGAAAATTAACGCTTGATTGGAAGAGAGGGGTGAAGTTGAGGCCAATTTCCACATTTCACCCAGCGCGATGTTCGACGTGACGGGTTTGAATGAATCCACGAAACCACTCCCACCATTCAAGGGTGTTAAGCTGAAATGAGAAAAAAAACCATTGGTAGCGCGCCTCTGCGCACTTATCGATTTCTGTTGCTCACATGCATGGCGATGATGATTGGCAAACGCAATTGCCTCCTTGCACGCAATCAATTCTGCCATAATACTGCAGTAAGCGCTTGTCTACGTGTCATCCTTGCAGGGCTCAACTACTGTGCTTATTTGTCTCATTCGCCAGAATTTTACCTGGTACGTTCCCTATCTACACCCACCTTTTTTTGGTCTTCATTTATCACAAATTTATGGGTACTTCTGTGAGTTTTTGCTGTTTAGAATGAACTCAGTCCCTTCACTTCTCAATTCCAATGTTCCATACTTCCATGTCTGCTCCAAATAGTTCTCACGGCATTGATCATGGAAGTATTTTTTTGTTTTTAACTCGCCTGCAGCTCCACGGACGGTGCAAAAGTCAGCTTCAAGAAGTCCACTTCCACCTCCTCAGCAAGATCAGTCTGTGTCGGTGAACTCATCTGCTCCGTCTCTGGACACCATGCTGACAGGCGGTGCCACTGAGAGTGCACTTTCTGCCCCTCGACCCAATCCCACCTCCACGACCCAGGCGCCTCCTGACGCGACCGTCACCGCAGCCTCGCATCTCCCATCGCAGCAGCAGCAGCAGCAGCCGCCGCCGATTCAGCCACGGCGGGTGCGCGATGAACTGGACCCCGCCCCGCACCACACTGCTGCCGACATCCGTGTGTTGGAGATTCTCAAGCGGATTCGCGACTCTGGCGGCGTCGGTGATGACGACCTCGATCGTAAGTCCACAATTGACTTTTACGGGTGGTCGCCTAGGTTAGGCGCTACTTGCGGCAATATGCGGGCATCCGGGGACACGAAAAAGGCTACTCGAAAACTAGGCGGTCATCTTCGAAGTTTTCTTTCGAGGTCAGTACCACAATCGTCCGGTACAATGAGGCGGGTGTTCACAACTCGTTTGTTCGTCATCTGAAACTGTCTTTTTTGGGGTGCTTTTTGAGGGTCTAACGCAACCAGGGTGTCAACTGGGCGCGTTACGCGTGACACCATTTCGCTTTTGGCCGGGAAAATCGCCCTCTCGATGACACAGTGTGGCCTATCGCCGCATGCTAATCATGTTTCGCTCGTCACATTAATCACATGTTAATGATCGATCAGTCATCCGTGTTAATCGATGATGGCTATCGGATCAGCTGTTGTGATGGCTTGTTGCTGAATTGACCTTCAGTTAAAAGTACTTTCAAGAATCGTTTAAGGTCTCACTGCTGGACAATTTTTTTTCAAGTAAACCTTTGCATTGTCAAACTGCGCGTCACAAATTACTCCTGACTAGACTAATCCAAGTGCCAATCGAACAAGCTGCTGCCTGGCGGTTAGTCGGTTTACTGAAAACCAGCGCCAAACCAGCTTCGGTCGGGCAAAATCTGCCGTACAGTGCCAAAATGGACTGAATCCACCAAATGCTTTTGGTTCGCGCTCAGAATCATTCATCTGCTGTCTTGCCTTTAGACTGATTCAGCGATTCTCAGAGTTCACACACAATCCCCCTGAATTTAGGTATCATTCTGAAGGCGTTATGGCGCGTTCTCTAAATGTAGTTGTCTTAGCCAATCTGTCGGAGTAGAGCAATCAAGTCAGCTTGGTTATAAAAATCTGACGCATTGGACATTCTGTTGTTTGCCGTGTGCTGGATATCCTTAACGTGTCTTATTGCAATTGGTGAATACGCGATGCTGCGATAAGAGCTGCATTGGGCAGCGATTCTACATGTAAGTGAGCAGTTTTCCCCCTAAATTCACCGGTTCCACCTGCCATGGATCCTGGTTTCACTCCATAAATTTCAATCCACAAGTGGGTCGTTCTCGTGTTGGAGAAAGCAGTGTGTGTGTGTGTGTGTGTGGAGTAAGTGATCGACTAGAGCGAGCGAATTCGCGAACCATTTGTGGCCTTTTAGTGTCACGTTGGCATCAATCCTAACCAGAGTTGCATTTGCTGATTCGTCGGTGTGTCTGTGGGCTCGTTTGGTAGCTGGGCCCTTCAGCTCCCAGCAAATTAGGGGAAGTAATGAGGGCCGATGTATGTGTGCGCGCGCGCGTGTGTGTGTGGAGTACCCTCTACAATTTGAGGTCCAGCACCCCCTCCCACTGGCGTCATCATCAACTCTCACCAGCTCGGAGAAGCGTGTTCGTTGCTCGCACCGGCTGCTTGATTGGTCGGTGAAAATGGGGGGAGTGTGTGTGTGTGTTTGGTGGTAGTGACAGTTTTGAAGGCAGGAAGGGGGAGGTAGGTGGTGGTCGATCTCCCACCCCCAAACTGCCGTCTTAGGTTGTGCTTACACGTGCGCACGCGGCATAACGACTCTACACGCGTGAAGCTGCTGTTTTGGCTGCCGCTACCACCACAGCGTGTATCCACTCCACCAGGCGTTGCATCGATCGCTCAATTTGACGCAGGCGCGTGCGCACGCGCCACGACTGCGCGCGCCTATTGAATTGCCATTGGATTGGACCTCCAGTTGAATGCCGGTCGGTGATTGGTTCACTAGCTCATTGATTCACCCTCTCTCTCTCACTCTCTCGGTCTCGCTTACTTTCGCGCGTCTTGTGGATGCCATAGCAACCATCGCTGCACAAGGCTAACTCCACCACCGTTAGTAATCTTATTATTGACCTTACAATTGCCAATCGAGTTTAGCCTCTGTGAGATGGCAATTTTGGGGCGTTTTAATCGGCCGTACTCTAATTAGGGTGTCTACACCATGCGTTGTGTTGTTCGGGTTGATGTGCGACGGCGGTCGCTAATTCTGCGACCTTTGCAACACAGCTCGTTACCCGTAATTGATAATCAATAGGGGGATATACCTGTCCAAAACCAAGGCTTTCGCCTCTCCTATCTGAGGTTTTTTCTGTTCCTTTTGCGATCAGCAGTACCACAGTTTGTTGGTGTGGTGCCTTGCATAAACATCTGTCGAGTCCTGTTCTCGTTTGTATCCATCTCACACACGTGATTAGTTGAAAAAAAAGAGTGATAAACCTAATCGGCGCACAGGCAGGCTATCGTTCGTGCGTGCGTGCGTGCGTGCGTGCTCGCTTGTGTGTGTGTGTATGGATTGCGCGCACACGCGAAATGAGTGAAACGCGTCAAAAGCGAGCGGCTTTTGTTTAGAGGACTCCGGCAACACCCGCCTACAGCCAGCCTCTGTGGTGGCCGATGAACAAGCACAAAAACACTGGCCAAACCACTGGCGCTTGCCAATTAAAGGACACGACAGGGGTGACCTTGTGTCCGAGGTCCGCTGCTGGTCGCGTGATTGGATGGAATCGGAGCGGAGGGCCTGAGTTGGCTAAAGTGGGTTCAGACTTGGTCTTGTCGCGTCATGCTTTTTGTGCTGCAGTGGAATGTTATTTTTGCATTCGGTGACGATCTTGACTGCACACCTCACTGTCGAACTCGGCTCATTTGCTCGTCCTCCTCCAAGCAAGTGCCTAGTGGTTTTGGCAACCGGCCAATTCGAACGGACTTGAATTAAAGGTGCGTTTTGCAAAGCCTCGTCACGAAGCTCATGCGTGCTCTTTGTGCCCTTTAGCTCCTCCGCCCAAACGGAAACCCGGACGTACGCGATCGGGTGAGTAATCCTTATTCTGCTCCAAACGCTGCACCTTTTTGAATGCCGCCTTCTTTCGTTAGGGTGTTCAAGAGGACCCACCTACGCCGACATTGATGGAAGTCTTGGTATATTTTTATTCATGCTGGAAAAAAGCTTACATAACACCCATCAGTGAGAGTGGATTGGGTGGGGTCTAGTCATGTGTCCTTAGTAGCATTCCAACATTCCTAGTTGTATAAACTAGTTGAAATGTCGATTTGTTTGTGCAGAAAAATCGACGCCAGCAAGACCTCCGCCGACAGTGTTGCCGCAGCCACAACCAACCACAGTTGATTCCTCCCTGTCAAAGACGACCTCCCGACTGGAGACGCTTCGACCGAGGGCGAGCGCTGTTAATGCTGCTGCTTCCTCCTCCTCCGCCGCCGCCGCCGCCGCCGCCGCAACGCCCTCACAACTGAAGAACGGCCTCGGGGCGAGCTCCACCGTGGTGCTCGCGACCACCAACGGGACCCCTGGGGGTCTGGTAGCCACTCCTGTGGTAGCCCATCAGCCGGCCACTGCTGCCAACACCCCTGCCATTGCTGTTTTGCAACAAAAGCACCCCCAACAGCAACAACAACAGCAATTTGGCTTGGAGATCATTCTTCCGAACGGACTTCGAATTCCTGTCTCTGCGACCTGTGGTAGGTCAATCTCCGGCCATGAGTTGACTAACATTCGCTGGTTAACTGGGATCTAGCTGGCCTGTACTCTCCACAAACCGGATCTAAGTGTGCTTGTTCTCTCCACAATTTAGCCCAAGCCGAGCCAAAGCCGGATTCGTTGTCGACGCGACCGCCACCCACCACCACCACCGCCGCCGCCACTGCCACCACCACGTCGCCGACAACGACGACAGCGGAGAAGCCGACGAACAAGTCGCCGAGCGAGAAGTCTGCGTCCGCGCAGCAGATCTGCTCGTGCAGCCGATCCAAGTGTCTCAAACTCTACTGCGACTGCTTCGCGGCGGGGCGAGCGTGCGGCGACAGCTGTAACTGCCGCCATTGCTACAACAACCTCGCCGACGACGTCTCCAAACAGACCCGGGACGTGGCGATGCGCACCGCTCTCTCACGCAATCCGCTCGCCTTCAAGCCCAAAATCGGTGAGTTGTGCTCGCCCTTGACTGCTGGACCGTGGGTCAAGCCATATCTCCCCCGCTTTTTGTTGAATACCGCGCTGTGCGAGGTTGCTGATGCTGTTTCTCCTCCTTCTTCTCCAGAAAACTCGGGAAAGCATGTTCTTGGATGTCGGTGCAAACGGTCGCACTGCATGAAGGGCTACTGCGAATGCTACCTTGTAAGTCGGTTCTGCCTTTGGTTTACTACGTGCGACCCGCGCTAAGGTCGGGGCTTAAAAAACAGTCATGCATTCCACACCAGACCCTCACGTGTGGGCTGGTGTCGCCAGTGGCTATCTGTTGTCACGGGGCGCCACGTCTCCCGTTGATGCTTTGAGGTTTCGAAATGTCGCTCCGGGATTAATGAGCGCGTTTCACTTGATGGCTTACGTGTAAGAATCTGATTGGAAGCTAGGCATTGTGACATGCCCATCGTTTTCATTTGTTTCACGAGACTGTCACTGCTGCCTTTTAAAGAGGTGTTAATGGTGCTTTTGCTAGGCGAGGATACCCTGTAATCAGCGGTGTCGATGCCTTGGCTGTTCGAATGAGGAGAACACTCCCAACTCTGCTACTACCGTCAACACCGCCGCCGCCACTACTGCCACCACCAACGCCACTCCCGTGAAAAGCGTCGAGGTGAACAATCACCAGATATCCTGGCTTGCGTCGCTGGCCGCACGCCAGCAGATTGTGACGTCGGCTGCTACAAACGCCACGGTTTCTGTGCCGGCAACTCTTGCTGGCGCGACTCGGACAATCACGCTGAATGTCCCCATCAAGGCACTCACCACCGCCAACGGCACTGGGTACGGCCTTTCTCCCTTGCTACCCACTATTTGGCAGTAGCGTATTTTCCACATTCAAGTGCTTTTGAATTTCAGATTGAACCAGCAAGCGCAGAGGCAAATGGCGACATCCACCCCGGACATACAATCACTCCTTCTTCAACCCTCCTACATCACAGCTCCTGCAACTACAACAACGCTGTCCGGACACGACTTGTTGAAGTGTCTCAACACCGTCCTACCGGCTCAACAACCACAGCAGTTCCTTCTTCCCAACGTCATTCAAAGCGGCCGTCACCCTGCTGCCACCATCACCACAACCAACGCCACCGTCGTTGTTGATGCGTCCACGTCGAAGCTCTCGGTGCTGCACCCAAAGCCAGTGGTACGACTTGAGTGTTTTTCCCTCTCTTAGGCCAGGCCGCAAACTCCCTTGAAAGAGGTTGCTTCGAATCTTAAATCACGTGCTGACTAACCCTACGCTGTGTCTGCCGTAGTGCTTGATTGTTCTCGTTTTGCGCACTTCGCCAAAACGTGCTTATTGTACTTATTATAGTAGTCTTTTGGCAAAACTTAGTGTCGGAAATAAACGCGCGAATGACTTGTTGCCTTCCTCCAAGGCATTAACCCTCAAACACTTTGTGCCTGGCGTGAGTTTGCTTCACACAGGTTCGCGTTCACTTCCAATTTCGTCGAAACTGTGTTAATGACGTGTTCGCAACGAGACCTCGACGTATAAGGCTGCGCTAGTCTTCATGATTGCATGATATTGTGCACATCCACACTCATTTTTCGTCGTTGTACCAGGAGAAGCCAGAAGATGACATCGGCGGCGGCTGCGGTTCGGATCAGTCGATTCCACTCGTGTCGCTCTCCGCCGCTTCTGCTGAGGCGGCGGAATCGGCAGGGGAGGAGGAGGAGGCGCTGAACGTCGCGGAGCCCGATGCGATGGCTGCCAACGAAGACGACTATAGTGGCTACACGGAGGAGGAACTAGCATTTATGCAACGCCTTCACCAGGACCGAAACACCCTCACATCGGCTTCCCGATTGGCTGATCAGGTTAGTCAGAAGTTTCACGCGATTTGTCGACTAGTCTGCTCGTTGAACCTCACATTGAAGTAATTTTGGTCTTCAAGATTAAGCCGGAAGACGCCTTTCTGGGGGACGATGAGGTTCATCGGCCACAGTCTTCCAGTGTCGATCACCACAGCGGACACTCGAGACCCGTCCGACCGCTGTCTTTACCCTCACCGATTTTCGATTCAACCTTGGACCCGCCTGCAGCCGTCGCAGTCACTTCCACGTTCTCCTCCTCCGTTGACCACTTCCACCCCTTTTCCGCACCGGCTTCGCTTTGTCCGCCGGCCAATCACACTTTCGAGTCTTGCTGCCACATGCACGCCTCACTTCCGGCTAACAAGTAAGTGTCGAATCCCGTGTTCGCAGAGATGTGTATGGTTGCACCTGGCCTCGGTTTACTAAAGTCAAGGTTGCTGTACATGTGACGTCTGGTTGGTCTATCGGTCTCTTAAGCACTGAATAGGCTCGTCCACCTAGTGGTCTCATTTAATAGGGCAAATGAGAAACGAATGGTTTCGAACCACTTGAGCACTTCTAAATCTTGTGATCCCAGCATCGTGTGTTCCACGCTGTTTTCTGGCCACCGCCTATGTCAACAAGGGCATTGCTGTCATGCATTTGGCTACTGTCACCAAATCCCTGCATAGGCGGCACGGGGTGTCGTTTATTTGCGGCAACCACGAAGCGCGTGCAAGCACACATATATCTGCATAGAATATGATCATATTTTTGTGCCAGTTGTGAGTTTAAACTGGTCTGATTTCTGCTTGGTTCCAGTGTTGATGTCGTCCAGCTGCAACAGAAGATCGCTCTGCTAGAGAGTCGGGTGGCCAAGCTGATGCACGTCACACAGGCGCAGGGCAGCGTGCTACGAAGTCTCGCGGCGAAGATTGGAGAACGACAACCGTAGACCGGCACTTGCAACGCGCAAATCTCACAAGTCAACATCCACGTATACACACAGACACACACACATTCACACCCATTCCTCTTGTAAATACATATATATCACAAACAAAACTGCATCGCACCATTTTTACTATACACGGAACTATTTCCTGGTCTTTTTTCGACGAAATTATTAATGGAACTATCGTATTCTTATGCTTTGTAGACATATATAAGTATTTTAAACACAAGCACATGTCTTCTGATCTCTCTGCGTGGTCAGATTTTACTCAGAAAAAGGTTATCTATGCAAGGCGATAGGCAAGTATCGTCTTTTATTGAAAATGTCTCAATACAGAAAAGAACAGTTGAAACTAATCTTCGATGCCGAGGTGGATCGCGACCTCAGTTGGGTGTTAGGGGGAGGCACTTGTGGCCGTGGGTGAGATCGTGTGTGTCCGCGAAGACTGACGCCGCCACCTGTTGCCTCGGGAGTAGGCGGGGCGAAAAGAGGTGGGCGGCCTACTGCTGGGGTAGATGACTCGATGCGCTCCTGGTCGTGGGACTTTGGATCCTTGATTTTGTGAACCGACGAAATTGTTGGTGTTTCTACTAGTAGGATAACCGATTTCTAACATATGATGGATAGCTTTAAGTTCATTTAGTGCTAGTGCATAGGCCGAGATTCAAGTACTGCGTCCATCGTGTAATTTGTGGCGGGACAAACAACAAAATACAATTGACCAATCAATTTGGCACAGATGGTGATGGCAATATCGCATAGACTGGTACAGGTCCGATTCAAATGGGCGATAAGTTTAGTGATTCACTTAGTAACAAGGTCATGGCAACTAAGCATGCGAAAAATGTCAAAGCGATTTGTTGTCAGAAACACATGTGACCACAAAGGACAGAAGTTAGAAAAATTTGTTAGGACTGTGTTTCAAAAGCTAATTACTTTTTTTTCCAACAATTCATGTTACTGAAGAAACTATTGCTAAGGGCATCTGACACAAGAATGAAATAGTTCTAAATTTCTTTATAGTATTTTACACTTTTATAGATATTTAACTTGTAGACACATGACAAAATGAGGAAATAAACGACTGGAGATAGAAAGTAAAAACTTTGTCGCGGTGGAATCTAAAAAGTTGATGAAGACTGTTTTAATCATCAACATACCGAGGCTTATTAAAAGACCGCTTAATATAGAAATCTGTCAAAAACGCCACCAAATAGCATTGCATATTTTTTTTGCAAAATTGCAGGTACTCACTCATTGGATGCGTCAGTGGTGGCAGGAGGCTTGTTGAAAACACAAGCATTATCTAAAATAGACCTAAAGAATAAGTCGCACACCTTTCGGCAATTGCGTTTTGTTCTAAAATTGGAAATACAAATAGCGTCTTACTTCACTTTTAGTCGGATTCGCTAACGTATTGCTTGAATTCTACAGAGCCGTAACAATTAATTTAATTAAACCTCTATAGCCAAATAGCTTTCAGACGAAGTGTCTTGGGATGTTAGTTCCTTAACTGAAACAGATTGAAGGTCTGAACCACGAAATATAACATAGTCATAAACTTGTGGATAAATTTGATCACCATTAGCTGAATTCACAACACGAACTACCGAAGTCAGTAAAACATAAGGTAAGTACAAACCTTTTGATAGGGTCACAGTAAAATGTTTGGTATCAATCGCATGCAGTCTACCAACATAGCCAAGGCCTGACCTCGATGTAACACTCAGCATTTTATTTGAGAACCGATTATCCATTTGCAG